CCCGCCATGGAGGGCGGTTGGAGCAGCCACCACCCAGGGTGGCTGTTGGGGGTGCTTTGGGTGCCAGGGGGTGGGTTTGGCCTTATCCCTTTGCTGCCCTGGCACCTGGGTCCTGGCGATTGTACAAGGGGAGCCGCAGCGGGCTGGGGCAGGCACGAGGAGGGGGGCAGCCGGCGTTGGCAGCGCTGCTGGGGAGATGCCAAAAGCCCCAAACAAAACACGTCTTCATCTCGCCTGCACCAGCCTGGGCGCGGGCGAGCGCGGGAGGGAGAGGGAGGGAGAGGGAAGCGCGCGCCGGGAGCGAGCCACTGCGCTCCGGCATGGGCCTGCGGCCACGTCCCTCTGCTTCCCGCTCCCTCGGCCCCCTTCTCCCTGCCCACCCGGCTGCTGCTGCCAAGTCCGAGTTGGCACCGCTCCCCCGGCTGCACCGAACAAAGCCGTCACCCAGCCCCGAGCCAGCGCTGACAGTAAGCAAAGTGACAGGCGCATCTTCCGCATGTTAATCCAACCGGCGAGGAGGCAATCGAGCAGCAGAGGCCCCCCCTTTTGATACCATGCACCCCCCACCCCCCCCCACGCTGCCACCGCCAACCCATGCATCCATCCCACCCTTGGCACCCGCCGGCCTCGTGCGGCCATGGCGAAGGCCCCCACCGGCGGCAGCACCGAAGCCTCCGCGTCGGCGAGGTTTAAACGGAGCCGAAGCCGCTCTCGGCGGGCAAACGAGGCCACTCGGCATCTGCTGTACCTGTTCCCGCTGCCTTCATCTCGCCTTGGACGCGTGACAAGAGCGCACTCGCCTCTGGTGGGCTCTCCGAGCCGCGGGTCTGTAACCCTTTGCAGGAAGTTGGCACCGATCCCAGGTAGGACTTTACTCCCCGGCTCCCGCTTTCTCCCCCCACCTCCGCCTCCTGCTCCCTCCCCTCCGCTCCCCCACCCATCCTGTCCCTTGGGCCCCCCAAAAACACCACCCAGGCCCCTGCTCCCCCTTCGCGCCGCTCGGCGGCCAAGGGGCAACACGGAGGGCGGCTGCTGATGGCTGCTGGGTGCCCACCGAGCCCCTTCGCCCACCGCCGTGCCACACGTACCCTGTCAGGATGACCTGGGCAAGACACACAACAACAACTTCCTGCTCCGGCTCCCTAAAACGCCTGTTTCCACGCAGGGGTTAGGCGGTGCGGCGAGACGGGGGGAGCTGGGAGGAGGTTTGGGGGTTTGTCGTCATTGAACCATGCTTGCTTTTTTTTTATATGCTTTTTTTCCCTTTTTTTTTTTTTTTTAAACATATATATATATTTCTTTTTTGCCCAGCAGCCCCAGCCCAACACGAAGCAGAAAAGGGGGGGAAAAACAGAAATCAAATGGGAAGAGAATGGCTCCAAGTCGCCAGGACAATGCATGGGAAACGGGGAGATTAGCGTAGCTCTGGAAATGCATCGCGCCCGCCCCGTTCCTGCCCCGTTCACCCCCGCGCCTCGTCTCTTTTAATTCTCCCAGCTCCTGAATTATTCCAGTCCACGAGCGGGAGGGGAAACGCGCAGTCCGGAGTCCCTCGGAGCTGCCAAGAGCATTGCAACAGGAAAGAAAGGAAAGCGCGAGAGGGAGAGAGCCCGGCAGAGCCCTCACAATCAAGCAGCGAGAAGAGCAAGGAGAAATTAACATCCAATTAGTGCCGTGTTTAACGAGGGAGACAGAGGCGGCTGTTGTTTTATTGCCCTGTTCTTTTCAGGCGCAGCTGACAGGCAGCGTTAAGGCACCCCAGCTCCAAGTGACGTCATCAGATTTGATTTTTTAATCATTTCTCTTCCCCCCCTCTTTTCTTATCCCCCCCCCCGCCCCCTTTTCCTCCTCCAAGTTTCACAGCCACAGTCCCAGCAACTCGGCCAAGGAAATTTGGTACTTTCTCGCTTCCCCCCCCTTCCACCTCCGGCCTCTTTCCTCCCCCCTTCCCCATCCACCGACACCAACCCCGGAAAAACAACCGCGCCAAACCCACCCCAAAGGCTTTGTTCTTCCAAAAAAACACCACAGAAAGAAAAAAAAAAAAAGGAAAAGAGAAGGAAAATCATCATCATCATCATCATCATCATCATCAGGGCTGGGATCCGAGGCGGAGGGAGCCCGCAGGAGGTCTCTCCGCGTGTGCGTCCGGGTGCGTGCGTGCGGCTGTCCCCTCTCCCGTCCCTCTCCCCTTGTAAAACTTGGCCGCATGTGACGCTGCTCCGGCCTCCGCTGGCAGCCTGACAAGAGCCGCCCGGCGCAGGCGGCTCTTAAGGGAGAAAACTCCATTGCTCGGATCAGAGAATTAACACGTTTTCTGCAGGGGAAGCCTCGCACAAGGGCGGCCGCAGCCGCGGTGCGGATCAAACCGTGTCCGCAGGGAGCAGGGGGACAGAGAGGAGAGGAGAGGAGAGGGAGCAGGACTGGATCAGAACCAGGGAGGCTTCCCCCCCTTTCACAGTTCCCTGGGCCTCCAGCTTCTCCCCCGGGATGGGGGCCCAGTGCTGTGCAAGTGCCAAGGGAGGCATGCAGGGACCGTGGTGGCTGCAGGGAAAAGGCATCCCAGTTGACCCCAGCCGGCCTCTGCTGCCACATCTGTCCCCAACGCCTGGGGTCGCCTCAGGAGGGATCAAACGCTGCTTGCTTCCCCCCGACAGCACTGCAAAGGCAGGAAGTGATGGGACAGCCCGGCTGGGGGGGACTGGGGGGAGCTACCCCCTATAGAAGGCCCACAACAGCCAAGGATGAGCGTGGAAAGCACCATCCCCACGCTCTTCCCCTCCGTGTCCAAGCTGCCAGCGTGGCAGGGCAGGGCAGGCCACCACACCAAGCTCTCCCGCCGGGCCCTTTGTGCCCTTGTTTCCAGCCAGGATTTCCCCTGTCCATGGGGAGGAATCCAGCAGGACCCTGCTCCTCCAGAACCTCCCGCTCCGGGTGAACAGGACCATCCTGCTCCCACAGGGGACGGGGACAGGGCCACCTCGCTGCTGGAGCCTGGGTCCGGTACCAGTGCCCACCCTGAGCAATTCCCAGCTCCACAATTCCCAGCAGCAGGATCTGCTCCCCAAGGGTTGCTGTTGTAGAGATATTTGTGAGGAGCTCTCTGCTATGAGCTCGGCGCTGTGGGAGAGCAGCACAAGCAAACAGCCTGCTCGAGGGCAGCCGCACGGGCACTTCCTCATGCATAGCCACAAGCAGGGGCCCCTCCGTTGCTGCTGGGGCTGGTGAGGGCTTGGCAAGGGGAGCCGGCAGCCCCTGGCCTTTCTGCTGACCAGACACCAGGGTGATGGGCACCGTGCAGTCACTATGAGAGCTTGGCTGGGCTGCTTTGTCACCTGGCTCCGCAGCAGGAAGGGCAGCGCGGCTGGGTGGGGGTTTGGGTTTAACTGAAGGCTCTTTAGCAGGACGATGCAATCGTTCCGAATTCAGCTGCTCTTTTCCTGGGTACCAAAGGCTTCACCAGCACCTAAATTCCATCGGACCCCAGCGTCCAGGCCTGGCACAGGGACAGGGAAGCCTTGACCTGAGTTTCCCTCTCCCGGTTGCCTCCCTTCTCCGGCAGCGGCTGGGAGCAGGTGAGGCCAAAGCCCCGGCAATCTCTGCTTTGCACTGATAAACCCCCAGGGGCCCTGGCGGCAGTGACCTGCACCCAGCCCGCCTCCGGGCAGGAGAGAGTCAATATTTGAACCCAGCTCTGTTTCCTGGGCTGGTCAGGGAGCACTGGGGCCATCGCTGCAAGAAATGCCTGGCTCCATCCCAGGCACCGGGCCCAAACCTCCTCCCACAGCCCTTGGTTTGCCCTCCCGGCCACAAGTTTCAGCCTAGATCTCATCTCCCATGGGAGCAGGGCCCCATCAGCTACATGAGAAGCAGCACCCAGGGCCAGGCAGCAATTTAAGGGAGGAGGGTGCCCAGCCAGGGTTTGGGTTGTCCCAGACCTGCCTTGCTCCTGGTGTGGACACTGTCCCCATGGTGGAACTCCTTAAAGGAAGCATGGGATGAGAACCAGGGACAGAAATGGGAGGAGGTAAGGGAATATTTAACCTTCCTATAAATGGCAGCCCTTACTTCAAGGTAAGACAGTGCCCTGAAAGCTTTGAAATGTGGCTTTCATTTAAAGTGACCAAAACCTCTATTCAAGTGATGTGTTTCCAGCTAAGTTTGTGGGCAGTGAACTGGGCAGAAATTGGTGGCAGGGTGCTTGCTCTGGTGCAGATTTAGTTAAATCCCTGAAGTGACTTCCCCAAAGGAAAGGAAATTGCCCTTTACACTGCAGTGGCTGCAGCCAGGCTGTGCATGGGGTGTCAGAGGTTTTACAGGCGTGTGACCAGCAAAAGGTGGCCTTGAGGATAAAGGCTCATGTATGCTCCAGAGGAGGCGTTGGGTGATCTGGGAGATGCAATGCCCAGTGTTGGGGTAGGCAAGAAATCAGCTCATGTGACAAAAGGTCCTGGGGTGAGGATGCAGGGAGGTGTGCAGGGGAGGATGGAGCAGCCGAGCCCATCCAAGGGGGTCTCCATCAGCGCTCCCACAAGAGCTCAGGGTCAAAAACTCTTCCCTGTGAGGGTGCTGAGGCGCTGGCACAGGGTGCCCAGAGAAGCTGTGGCTGCCCCATCCCTGGCAGTGCTCAAGGCCAGGTTGGACACAGGGGCTTGGAGCAAGCTGCTCCAGTGGAAGGGGTCCCTGCCCGTGGCAGGGGTTGGAACTGGAGGAGCTTTAAGGTCCTTTCAACACAAACCAGGCTGGGATCCTATGATTCTAAACTCCAAATACCCACTTTCACGTGTGGGTGCACTCAGTGCCATCTGCTCAGCCTAAACCCACCAACTTCCATGGAGCCGTGGAAGCTCAGAGGGAATCTGAGTTTGCAACAAGCTGGATCAGGCCCTGCTAGGGGAAGAAACTGAAGGAAGTGCCCATCTCAGACTGAACCCTTCCCTGAAGGAGGGCACCTGCTGGGCAGAAAACAATAGCACCTTTAATAAAAAGAAACACCCAAGTTAGTTGTTTTATAGCTGTATTTTGGAGCAGAGTTAAATCCTCTTGGGAATCATCTCTGGTGTTAGGGAACAGGACCATGCATTATTTAACTTCTGTTACTGTAACACAAACCGTTTGGGAGGAAGGGAGGAAAGTCAGGACCCACTTCACAACACCGAACGGAGCTGGGTTGGGGCTGCTGGTCCCAGCATGTAGCAGCACTGCCCCAGAAGCCCTGGCTGGGAGGTGTGGATTGAACCCGTCTGATGCAGGAAAAGCCCTGTGCCACGGCAGGTTTGGGTCCCAGAGGATGTGACCCCACACAAGAACCTGCTCAAGGACCGCAAAGCCTCCTCACAGGGAGTGCAGCAACACCTCTGTGCAAAAGAGTGCTCTGGGGGGGAACCAAATGGGGGACTCGGCCTGGCTGCTGTGGCAGCGCAGACTGGTGCAAATCAACCTCCTGTCTGGAGAGCTGAGGGTAAATCCCTCCCTGCTGTCACCAGTGAGCTGCTATGTAAGAGCCAAACATGCACAAGGAGCCCTTGATCCCAGTGCCTTGCCAGCCTTTGGACAGCTCAAGGTTTGTTCCTTCATTCCAGCCCTGGACTGAGTGCTGCTGCTGCAATGCTGGGGCTCCTGGTGCTGCTGACAGGGAGATGCTCCTGTGGTGCCACTGTGCCAGTGCAAGCAGGCCCCATGTCCCCTGGGAAATGGACACCCGGGATACACCCAGCAGCTCTGTGGGATGTATGCTACCCACATCAGCCCAGCCTACTGCAAAAAGCCTTCCCAAAGCAGTTGCCATCACAGCACACAGCCCTTCCTGAGAGCTCTCTCCATGTCCAAGATCCAACACCACTCCTGAGCCTCTCCCTTTGGGACTGTGCTGTTCTTTACAGTGGGAAGTGTTTCCCTTTTCTGGTTTTGATACTTCAATTTCCCTCTCGCACCCTGGGAGGTGCTGAGCTTCCCACTGCTCAGGTACCCTCAAAACCTCAAATACAGGTCACAGGGTTGATCTCGCTCAGGATGAGCCATGCCAACCTTTGCCCTCTCCAGACCAGAGGAGAAGAGGCAGGAAGCTGGCCAGCTGCTGTAGCCTTCCCAGCAAGGAGACCCTGGATCTCCTGCTGCTCCCCAGCTCAGGCAGAATGAAGCAGTCTTTTGTCCCTCAATCAGTATCTGGGCATTTCCTGGTTTCCCAGACTCCCAGAGCCATAAACTGGACCAAAGAGACAAGTCACCGCTCTTCTGCTCTCTGCTGCACATCCTGGTTGAAACAGCCATGAGCATGGAGCTTTGGTCCAGCTGGAGCCTGAAGCAAGATGTCCAGAAGCCAACTTGGTGCTGACCTTACTGGAGAGGAGGTGTCTTATTCTGGCACCATGGAATTTGGATCAAAAACTAAAACTATACAAATATCAAATCAAGCTCAGGGTTTCTCGAGGAGCCCAAGTTCACCACCTCTCCCTGCCCAGGAGTCAGTCAATGGGGAAGCGGGCGGCTGGGATGGGAGCTCTGCGGAAGAGCAGGCTGGAGCCACGGAACAGCTGCCCCTGGGGAGGAGGAGGAAGAGAAAGCGCAGGGTCAGGGCTGCCACACTGGGACCTGGTTTAGGAGGGGCTGACTCACGCCCACTGCAAGGCCGGAGCACCCTGCGGTGCTACAGAGAAAGTGGGGTTTCAGCCCCATGGGTGCTGGAGTTGGGCCTTTCCCCCATGGATAAGGAATAGGCAAGGACAGAGCCACCTCCCTTTCCTGCATGCAATGCATTGGCTAAAAGGCTGCAGGCTGCCAGCTCAGGGCACATAACAGGCAGAGCAGTACTGCCATGCTGGGCACCAGTGCCACAGCTGGAGGGTGAAAACAGGTTACAGCACCCAAAGGACGTGGCTCAGGAACCTCAGGAAGGAGCATTGGGAGCCCCAAGCCCTGCGTGTGCCCCTCACCTGAGCACTGAGATGCCTCCAGCAGTGGATCCAGGATGTAAATGCAGGAGCATAGGGAGGGAGGCCAGCACGCAACCTGCATGGCAACAAGGAATAGCTGAGGAATAGCTGTGGAGATGTCACATTATCCCACAGGTAACACAAGAGCAGCAGTCAGTGTAAGTGAGGACACAGAACAGCGTCTGCACTGGGCTGAAGGCCAAATGACCGGCTCATTATTTACAATGCAACAGATCATGTGATTTAATTACTCCTGGAGTGTTACTTGGATGCATTAATCCAGGACTCTGCACTGTATCTACACCTTCAAGAGCCAGCAGATACTTGGAAAACACCACACCAGCACCTTGGCTCCAGTCCCCTTCCCACAAGCATGAATGCAGATGTCTGTAGCAATGGGATTGGGAAAGCCAGCTTGGTCCTGCCCCTGTCTGCACCCATTGCTGCGTGCAGCTTTGCTTTCCCTTGTGCTGCTCCCCACCACAATCCCTTTGATCCCTCCTGCCCCAGTCTATTTCAGACTGGGCCACACCACCACGACTCCCCCTGTTTCTCTCCACTTGAGCTTTTGTGCTGCTCTTGTCTGTGTCCTCTGATCTAAAATTATAAGCAACCTGGGACAGGAAAGGAGATGGCTCTGCAAGGTGCCATCGAGTTTATGGCTCTGTATGAAAGCTTTACGATCGTTAGCAGTGGATTCAGCCAACAAGGGGCTGGAAGAAAGGAAGGGAAAGCCTTAGTTCTCAGTGTGATGGACATACCCACAGTTGTTCACTGCCATGAGATCTCCCACGAGAAGGAATGGGTACGTCAGCATGCTCACAGCAATCTGAAAGCACAGAAAACCAGTAGCCTCTCTAATGTTCACCGTGTCAGAAAACCTATTCCCAGCTTTGGCATGTCAGCAAAGTTATCTTCATTTGGATATAAAGGACAGAGCAGCCTTTGCCCCAGACCATGAGCTCTCACCCCACAGATGGCAGGAAGAGGAGAAATGACACAGCAGTTTCCTACGTACCCCTATCACGAACTTGGTGTAGCTCCGGATCACCGATGCCTGGCTGAACTGTAAAGAGAAACCAAAGGGACTGTGGAGGAGCTGGGTGACCCCAGGCTGTCACTGTCACTGGGTGACATCCCTCTGAGCCTCAAACACAGGGCATGCGGCAGGGGAACAAGGTGGAAAGCCACAGTAACCACACTACCTCCCAGCTGGGAATCAGGAAAGACATTTGCTGTCAAAGCTGATGCCCCCCCAAAGTGCAGCTGAAACAGCCCTGAGCAGCCTCAACATCTCAGCGCTTTCACAGGGCTGTATTCAAAGCCCAGTGTCTGCATTCAATGACCCCCACTTCCTGTTACCTCCTGCCACGGGCAGGTGCTTGGGATGGGCCCCCCAACCCCTCCACTGGGCACTTGCACTCACGTTATCATCCACAGCGTAAGTGTTGATGAAGTGAGCCAGGAGGTTGCAGCACCAGAGGAAGATGACATCCCCCAGGATGTGAGGAACTAAACCCCTGCAAGGGCAAAAAGAGGGGGGTGAGGTGCAGAAGGGTCCCAAGTGCTGCCTTCTGAGGTGCTGAGCCCTCCCTCCAGCAGCACAGAGGAACCCCACTCCCTCAGAATGCATCTTTACTTTGGGAGGAAGTTAGAGGGAGAAGGGAAGAGCCCTCCCAGCCTTCAAACGTGGTCCTGCATGCGCTGCAGCTGCTCCAGCCAGGGGATGCTCTGGAGTGGGAAGTCTGGGATCTGTCATTCAGACACCACTCAGCCAAGTCACCTTTTTCTACCCCAAATCCCTCCTTGGCCAGCTCCTGCTCTGAAACCCAAGTGAGACACAGACAAAGGGGATCTATCAAGCTCGTTTTACAGATGCTCTTCTGGATGCAGAATGAGAAGTTCATCTCTGGACTCTTCCTCCTTTTAGAAATCAAAATGAGGCGGGTTGTTCCTGTAAAACCCACTACTGCAACGTGGGATTACCAGGGGGCAGCACTCCAGGCCCTCTGATTTCCCCCCAGTTCCCTGCTGCCCTCTGGAAGCATGGCTAAAACATTAACTGAACTGTTCAAAGGGTTTCTCCAGGTCAGCTCTTCTCCAGCATCTGCTGCACCACTGCAGGCATCGAGCACAGAGCCTCCTGTTTGGCTGCATGGTTGTTGCGTTGCAAAAGGATCCCAGTGTGCATTAAAGCCGTATTTCACCAGCAGATGTGCTGAAAACGAGCCTCTTGAGCCACCTGAGTGTTTGCTGGGCTGGAAAGAGCCTCCTCCGAGCACACAAATCCAAGCCATTCCTTTCTTCCCAAACCTGACGCTGCCCATTTGGAGCAGGGGACCGGCTCTGTTTCCTGCTGCAGCAGCAGCACAGTGGGGACCACACGCTCTGCTCCAGCCTGCTGCTTGCTTGGCACTGGGGTTTATGCTTTTTGCAGATAAGCTGTATATTGTCAAGGCTCCAGCAGCTCTGGAGATGCTGCCCAGGTCTCAGGGGCTGGGCACAGCAGAAGTCTTTAATAGAAGAGATGTGATAGATGGGAGCAGCAGCCAGGACAAGGAAATCAAAGCTCTCTGGTCCCAAGCAGAAGGTCTGCTTTGTGTTTAGCTTTCAGCCTTTGAGGAAAAAAATCCTTTCTTTAACTCAGTCAGGTCTGAAGCAGACTCCTGAGCTGCTGCAGATACAACAGGGGCTTAATAAAGTCCAGAAACGGAGGCTGGGCCATGGCAGCCATGTAGGGAAAACCTTACCCATCTCTTGATAGAGAATCACATTGTTTGTTCCATGGGCAGCAAGGATCCATCCCCCTTTCTCCTCCATCATCAAAGTAACAATGGATGCTGAGCCCAAGCTTATGGGATGACTGGAGACCAGGGCTCTGAGAGCTGCAGAAAGGGGCTTAAAAACCCAAATCCATTTGTGCTCAAGCCCAAGGAAATCTGGACTAGGAATATTTGTAAAAGAGAAGTCATTAAAAGCTAGAAGAGGAGGAGGCAGATGAGGAAGGCTGTGATGTACAGCAATGTGACCCAGTGCCAGGGAGCTGGGACAAGCCATCTTCGAGCTGGCCATGCACAGCAGTTTTGGAGCCTAGGGAACATCCTCCTGGCCTGCTGGCAGACAGGAGACTGCTGCAGATAGGAGGGGAAGGAGGTATGTCCATCCCCTGAAAGTGTTTCTCTCCAGCCATGCACACATCCAGAGCGTGCCACCATTGGTGCTGCACAGATGTTGTAAGGCCACCAGAAACAAGAGATTTTAATGGTTTTAATGGAGCAACGATTTTTAAGGGAGAGGATGTGTTTGGATGGCTGGCAGGGCTGGGAGCAGGAAAGCACAAGTGTGGTCCTACAGATGCAGTTTGTGCTCCCCCCCCAGCAGTGTGATTTCCTAGCGGGGCTGTAGAGCACCTATAAGTTCAGAGCCCTCCTGAGACATTTTTGGTTGTGTTAAAGCCTTTCCTGTGAACTATTAAGTCTGATTAGGCTCCCAACAGGGTTTGTTTTATGTGGATAGAAGGAAATGCGGCAGCTCCTTTCACGTTTATTCCTCAGGAGGTGGGGGGGAAGGAGGACTGCAGCCTGCTCTGGCCGTGCCCCACACACAGGGACCATCCCAGAGGAACCTGTTTTTAATGGAGACCTGGAGCTGCACAGCTCAGCAGAAAAGCTGTGGGCTGCAAAAGGAAGATGTAGGGACACTGAAACTGATGGGAGCTCTGCAGACCTCAGGCCCTTTTCCCTTGAGGAGAAGCGGATCATAGGTGATACCCCCTCCGACTGCTTGTCTCTCCCTGATGCATGCAGGTTTTATCTGGAGGCCCAGATTTTGTGATTGCAGAGCCAAAGGCACCAGGCCTGAAATCCCCTCCAGAAATGTCAGAGCTGCCTTTACTACTGTTGACACACTAAAGTGAGTTATCTCCCCACTGGGAGCAGAGGCAGCACGTGGTTCTGCTTTTATGTAGATGGGGAAAAAAAGGCAAAAAGCATTAAATAAGGGTTCAAGCAAAAAGATGTCCAATAGAATTCCACTTCAGTGATGCCACCAGTTCACCACCAGCTGGAAGCACCTTTCAGCTCCTTCTGGTCCAGTCAGCACCACTGAGCTGGGCAGCATCATGCTCCTGCCGTTCAGCCAAACAGGCTCATTACAAGCACCCACTGTGCTCCTCAAGGAATGTGCTTTTTACCCAGCCCCTGGCTTTTATTTCAACAAGGGCTCTCATTGTTGCACTTGATCTTGGTGCCTGTTGCACAAACAAGTGCTTTAAATGGCCCTTCACTGAAACACAAGGAAGCATCAAGGGAAAAAGAGAAAGGTATGAAAAAAACTACTGGGTTTCTCTGGGCTCTCAAGGTTTGAGTGAAGATAAAATCTGGGCCAAACTTAATGGCCAAGCTGGAATGCTGTCAAAGCCACAGATTTAATCTGTGCTCATGGGAATGATGTGAGAGTCCCAGGGTCAGGCAAGGTTCTGGAGCTCAGCACCACTCTAACTGAGGTTGGTAGAGCAACCAGGAGAGCCACCAGTGCCCTTGGACTACAGGAGAAGGTACTGAAATAACAACTCACGTACACAAAGAATCCCAGGATCCCTTCTTCCTTAAGTATCCTGCCAATGGCACTGAACACACCACTGCCAAGGAAGGAAAAGAGCTGTAAGTGTCAGGGGTTGCTCCATCTCTGTCCTGTGCAGCTTCACACATGTTCTGCAGCCACCAGGCACAGCAGTGGCACCCCAGCCATTGTGCCAGCACTGCAGTGTGGCTCTGCAGCTCTGTTCTTGCTGCTTCTCCTCACCCCGTGAAGGAGGGTCAGGTCTACCCAGGAGAACAGCCAACGTCCTGACAGCCATTCAAATGCTGAAGCTAGAAGAGCTCTGCTTGGCTTTGCGTGAGTGGACACACGTGCTGCAACCACAGCACATCACATGCTTTGATTCAGCTGTCCCTGGAAGCTCGTGCTGGCTGTCATGGGTTAGCATGCTTTCATGTGGCTGCACGTGCAGTTTTGCCCTGCAGAGGGGCAGGCTTGGAAAAATCTTGCAGGGCTGCATCAATGTTTTGTGTTACCTACGCTGCCTCCCTGCTGGCTTCCCTTCCTATTAACACCTGAGGCAAACAGCAGGAGATGCACTGTGTGATGAAAGGTGTGTTACAGCCACCAAGACCCCCATGGGCACACCAAGGCAGCCTGGGTACAGAGCCCAGCCTTCCCCTGCACCTTCACCCTGCAGTCAGCCACCCTCTAAGCACAGCTCAGGTTCACTTTCTGGCCACCCAGACCTCCTGGGTTGCCACATCCCCCACTGCACAGAGCACCTGGCACTGCTGACTCCCAGACTCATGCTTCTGTGTGCCCAAACCCTTCAGAGCTGCAGCCACTCACCTGTACTTGACTTCCCGGCCTATGAACTGGACCATGCAGCGCATAGAGATCACTAGGAGGAGAGAAACACAGGGCTGGCAAAGAAACAAATCCTGTTTGGGTTGCAATGGATGCGAAGGAAAATACAGCCTGACCCTTCTGCCCTCCCTTCCCTCAAGCTGTGCCACCTCCAGCTCCTCTCAGTGGTCCTCATTAGAAACTGGTGACCTCCCTGGTACTGTAAGTGATGGGAGGGATTTCTGGCCCTAACCCAAATGGGGTCTATAGGATGAAGTCTTGGATGAATGAATGGAGCACCTCACTGCTCTGCTGGGTTGCTCCTTGAAGGCCAACCCAAGTGTCAGCCTCCCAGAGAGGCTCAGACCTGCATCTGCTCTGATTTCATACAAAGTCATTTATGGTAGAGAAGCACATGAAGTAATCAGGGTTTTGGGGTGACCCCCAGTCCAGAGAGAGCTGCCAGGTAGCAGGACAGGACTCACCATGCAGCGGATGCGAGACAACGCGGGACATGCACTGCATCATCATCTCATGGGAGGTCTGGGAAGAAACAAACCCACACGGGTGTGAAAAGCTGCTCTGCTCCACCTGCACGGCTCAGGCCTTTCCCTCAGCACAGGGAAACCCGTTTCAAGTCCCCTTTTGAAATCTGTTGTTCATGGCAGACCTCTGCTCCTATGAAATATTCCACAGGTGGGCACAGAGTGGCTACTAAATCCCACAGCCTTCTCACCCAGAGAGTCTCTCCAAGTAGTTCCACCCAGAGCCCACAGTTTAAGCTTCCTCTGCTCTCCGGGCACATCACTGCGATCTCCCTGATCACCCATGAAGATGCAGCATCCCCTTCTCACCTCTTTCACCACTTTCCTAAGGGAGGTCTTCACATCATCCTTGTTAGAAACGTGCTCCATGTCTTCCAGTGGAAAGGCCTGAGTGGAAAGAGAAGAAACAGGGTCAAAACTGAAGGAGACACTGACCCAAACCCCTCAGTGTCTGAGGACAGGAGGAAACCAAGAGCAATTGTGCTCTAGATGGGAGGAGAAAAACAGGCAAGAGGGAAAAAGGCGAAGGAAGGATGGGAAGTAAAATGGGAAAAGAGGGATTGTTTGAATTAAATGAAAAACAGGTTTAAAAAGAAGTTTGTTGGATATGGGCACTGCTCTCCTCCTGTCATGGAGGAGTATTCTGAGCCTGTAGGAGGGATTTGGGCTCCTTAGTCCTCCACGTGCAGTCGTGGCTGGGGGCAGGCACATGCAGGCTCTCTGCAGTAGCACCAGCCACCCCAGCAAGCTGATTTATGGGGAGAGAAGCTGACCTTTACCTTCTTCACACTCCCCCTGGTGATGGTTGATAAAGTGCTTGAGATGAGGCGAGGAGTAAGACCACGGAAGAGGCCTCTCTTCCCATCCACTTCCACAATGTGTCTGGCTGGGTAAGAAAACACCAGGCTGCTGTCAGCTGGGGGCCAGAGCACCCCAAAGACCTCCAGCCAAAACCACACTGTAGTGATTTAGTGTAACAGCCCCAAACTTCATACAGGATGCACAGAATCCTTAGGTATTCCCTGTCATCTATCTAATCTGGAAGGACAGCTCCGGTATTTTGGGCTACTCCTCATCTTTTGACTCTTTTGCTCACCTGGAACGGCTACAAGGCGGATTGACTGGAGCGGGGCAGGGAGGGATCATCTCATGTGCTGTGTGGTGTCACCTCCTCCCTCCTCCACCCTGGGGCTTAACATGGATTTCACAAACCCACCTTCAGTTCCTGCCCCACCACCGTCTCCCAGGCAAACTTCCTTAGGTCTCCAGCCAAAACAATGGATCCCAGTTTCCCCCTGACATAACAAGGTGGAACACAACCCGCTACATGCCTGTGAGTACTGCTCTTGCCCCCCATCCTCTGCTGTCCCAAGCTAAGATCTGTGCGTCTCCATCACCCACCCATTTGGAAAACGCATCTTCCAAAGGGCAGCATCAGAGTGTTTCCAGCTCTGGGTGGCCCAGGATGGATTCGGGATCAGCCCAACCTGGCTTTCAGGACCATGTGCTCCCCTTCCCCACAGCAAACCCACTGGGAAAGCAACCCCCAAGGTCACGGAGCATCCACCCACATCTCCCATGCTGCTCCAGCCGCAACGAGAGAAAAAAGTCACTTTTTTTTTTTCCTTCTAAACATATTACCTTCCCCTTTTCTTGGGATTTCTGTCCGTTTAGGGCTCCATCTACAACACAAACGAGGAGGGCAGGGGGGCGAGTTATTGCAGGGCTGTTTGGCAGCAAAGGCAGGCGCTTTGCTGTCTCTAACACACACCAAACCCTCCACCAACAAACCTGTCCCACCTAAACCCCCCCAACCCCTCTGCTATGGTGTAAGCCCAGAGCAATGGGCCACGGGAAGGGGATGAAGCACCAACACCGGGGCCACCACCTGCTGTTGGGGTTTATGTCTCGCTGCAGCCTCAGGATGATCCCAGTGGGGATGTGGGAGTGCTGCTGGGGGCCAGCAGCCCCCAGCCCTGGTTTTAGGCAGGACCTTGAGCTGGCAGCGAGGGATGTTCGCTCACCATAGGTGAAGAAGCCGGGCAGGTAAAGGACCTTCCTTCCCAGCACGTTTCTTCCAATGGCTGGAGGTAGTGGCTCATGCCCGACCTGCAAGAGAAACCCTATGAGCAGGTTCCTGGCTGGCATTCCCAAAGCTCCTGAAGCCATGCAGCCTCTATCCCGGCATCCGTGAGCTGCCAAAGGGCCCTGTTCTCCCCGCTGCCCTCAGATAAATGGGGATCCCATGGCACCGGCAGTCCCTTTCCCACCGCAGGGCACACGGGGTCCTCAACCCTCCCATTCTGGGGGTCCCTATTACAGGTCTCAGGACACCCTTTACACAGGCATTTCCCACCCCTCCTTACAGAGGAGCCCCCAGTGCAGAGGGGATCCTCATCCTCCCCCATCCCATTTTATAGGTGTCCCCACCGGACACGGTGTCCCAACCCCGCCACAGGGGGGTCCCAACCCCTTGCTGTACGGGGGTCCCCACCACACAGGGCTCCCCGCTCCGTTACAGACGGGGCTGCCGCAGTAACAGGTCCCTGTATGAGCCAGGCTGCGCCGCTGCCCTCACCTCCCGGTCCCACCCGGGACCCCCATCCCCGCACCCCTTTCCCAGGGGTCACCTCTCACCAAGGGGGGCCGGTTCACACAGCGCTCTCTATAGGAGCACCACAGAGGAGCCCACCCCCGATCCCCCGGTGCCCCCGGACCTGCACGAGCAGCTTCACGTAGAGCAGGGGGTGGCTGGCGGCGGCGAGCCCCGCGCCCAGCGCCACCAGCAGCGCCTCGCTGCCCTCGGGGGGCCCCGCCGCACCGCCAGGGGGCGCCGGCGTCGCCGGGGGCAGCGGCGATGCCACCGCCGCCATGGCCCCGCCGCCACTGCGCCTGCGCTGCGCGCTCCACCGGCGCGTCCTGCGTCACCGCGCCGAGCGCGGGGTGGGACCATGGCGTACACGGAGGGGGGGGGGAGCGAGGGGGGAACCATTGAGGGTGGGGAGATGGAGGCGCGGTTGGAGGGAAGGGACATGGAATCATGGAATGGTTGGGAAAGCCCTTTAATCCCATCCAGTCCAACCCTTACCCCAGCACTGCCAAGGCCACCCCTAACCCATGGCACTGAGGCCTCGTCTCCACGCTGTGTGAACACTTGCAGGGACGGTGCCTGCAGCCCTGCCCTGGGCAGCCTGTTCCAATGCCTGAGCACCCTCTGGGGCAGGAATTGTTCCTCAGCTCCATCTAAACCTGCCCTGGTGCAGCTTGAGGCCGGTTCCTCTTGTCCCATCCCTTGTTCCTTGGGAGCAGAGCCCAGCCCCTCCTGGCTCCATCCTCTCAGGCAGTTGGAGGCAGCCATCAGGTCCCCCCTGAGCCTTCTCTTCTCCACACTGAACCCCCCAGGTCCCTCAGCCCTTCCCCATCACACTTGTGCTCCAGGCCCTGCCCCAGCTCCGCTGCCCTTCTCTGGCCCCGCTCCAGCCCCTCAAGGTCTCTCCTGTAGTGAGGGGCCCAGAGCTGAACACAGGATTCAAGGTGCGGCCTCACCAGTGCCCAGTGCAGGGGCTCAATCCCTGCCCTGGCCCTGCTGCCGCACTGGTGCTGGTACAGGCCAGGATGCTGGGGGCTGCTTGGCTGCCTGGGCACAAGCTGCTCCTGTTCAGCTCCATCACTCAGCACCCCCAGCTCCTTTCCCATGAGCAGTTCCCAGCCGCTCTTCCCAAGCCTGGAGCACTGTTGGGGTTGTTGTGGCCCTTGGCCCTGTTGCCCCTCATCCCATGGGTCCAGCCTGCCCAGATCCCTCTGTGGAGCCTCCTGTCCTCCAGCAGCTCAGCGCTCCCCCCAGGGCTGCGGGGCAGCTCCTCCTAGTGAGGGGTACCCCGGTGTGGGGCACAGCCCACCCATTGCTGGGGGCTCCCTGCAGACAGCCCTCAGGCCTCCTGCCCTTGCCCCAGCCCCACTGCTGCTCTGGGGCGCACACAGTGAGGTTCTCCCAAACTGAACCAATTCCCAGTGTTTTCTCAACGTTTCTCCTACTTGTGCTGTGCTTCCTCTTTCCTTTCCCTTTTGAGGCCAGCGCAGAGACAGGCTCTCCCCCCACAGAAAGGAGGGCAGCAGATGGGCTTTGCCTTGTGCAGATCCTCCTCCGGAACCAACATCCTGGGTCCCAGAAACACCTCGAGAAGAAGGGATCATCAGCACCCACCCTGCAGCCCCTTGACACCGCTCCCAGCCGGTGCAGGCAGTGCCATGGAGGGAGAGGCTGAGAACCAACGGAGGGTGCTGAACCTGGTGGCTGTGTTTGAAGAGCGCTGGTAAGGAGCGAGGGTCCTGGGTGCTGTGGGTGCGTTTGGGCTCTGTGCAGCGTGGAGTTGGGAAGGCAGGAGCCCAGCCCAGAGGTGGCTTGGAGGCTGTGGAGGAGCTGACACAGTGATTTGCTTCTCTTCAGCACTCAGATCTGCCCCAGTGTCTTCCTCCTGTGCACGGAAGGCTGAAAACCTCAGTGGGATGTGGCTGTGCTGGAGGTGGCAGTGCCTGGCTCAGGGTTAGGTTGTGCCGTTGCCTCTGTGCTCAGCACCTTTGCATCAGCCTGGCCGGGGAATGCTTTTTCTCCCACTGCTGGGGAAAAAGGATTTTGCTTTGCAAATGTATGGGCAAGGGTTTTCAGTGGGAACTGACTGCTTGAAGGCCTGGGAGGATCCAAGCCTCAGGCTCTCCAGCTGTTTGCAGCGATGAGACTCCTTGGAAAGGGAAGAGAAAGCATCGTGGCAAGGGGAAAAGCAAGATCCTTTTGGGCTGTGCAGGAGGCCCATAAAACAGCACCTTCACTGGGAGTGAAGCAGGGACCCTCAGCGTGACCCAGGGTTGGAGTGAGGGGATCTGCCTTGCCCCTGGTGTGGAAGTGATTCGGAGACTTGGGCGAGTCATTGTTGTGCTCTGTGCCTCAGTTTCCCCACCTATTGAACCAGGATGCCACATCCTGCCTTCGTTGTGTCCTCCCAGTGAGCCTCGGTGAGGCTGGGTGGTTGGGCCAATGGGTTCTGCACTAGAGGTGGTCAGGCAGTGTCTGCTCCGGGAATGTCACCTCCACTTCTGCTGCTTTGTCCCCAGCTTTCTGCTCTGGATGGCTCCAGAGCAGTGGTTGTCCCCGTGGTCCCACAGTTGAAGTGTGCCCTTGTGATGCTGTGGTGCTGGAAGCGTTTGTGGCATTTGATGTGCCTCCGTGTCAGTGCTGCAGAGTGTTTTGTTCATCATGAAGCGTGAGTTGGATTTAGGGGAAATAGAAGTAACTTTGGCATTCAGGGGAAGCTGAGGAACCTGGAAACGAGTTTTCTGGAACAGAAAATGGCTTAGCCCAGGTCAGCACAAATAGAGAAGTTCCCAGGTGGATCCTGGGGGTGGGTTTAGGGTGGCACAGTCTGGGAGGCACCAGGAGATGAAGCCTCCCTGTCACCTGAAGGGTTATGCCATCCCCATGGACAGGAGGGGATGTGAGCATGGCTGTGGATGCACTACCGAGCTCACAGACACATGCTGATCAGTGTGAGAATGGACCCCCATCTGTTTCACAGGAGTGTCTGCCTCTCAAGTCATCTGCTGTCCTCAGCTTTGCAGTTCTATGTCCAGTTTCATCCCAGCTTTCCCCTCCTCATTATCCCACTCCTGTGTGCAGGCCACCAGGGAATGTCCTTCTAGCTTCTGTCCAGGGCAGTTCACCCCAGGGGCCAGCTCTCAGGTGGCACACATGAACACTGGCATGTTCACAGCCTGTGCCCTCTGTGGCTTCTCCCCCTTGCCTGCTCTGGACCTGTTTTCCTTGTCTTTGCCAGAAAGAGGAAGAGAGAAAACCACCCAAGAGGTACCCCTCTGCACAACCACCTACACAGGCCTCCTCTTGGCTGATGCCTCTTGGCTCTTTGGCTGTTAAAGCCTCTGCCTGAGGCTGCTGCTCCCCACTTTGGCTCTGCAGTGGCAGCAGGCAGAGGGCCAGAGCTGTGCCAGCGCCGCAGAGGTCAGGGTTATCCTTTGGGAAAGAAATGGCTGTAGGTGGGATAAACAGCAGAGTTGTGTTCTTCTAGAGCAGCACAGGGCCTGACCGCATCAGCAGGAGGCACTGGAAAAGAGAGGCTGGATCCTTGGAGGATGTATGGGCTTTCAGACCCTGGTTTGGAGAGCAAGGCAGGATCAGCTGCTTTGTGTCCTATCACCTTCACTTGAGGATGGAGGCTTCAACGTGGGAGCTGGGTGGGCCACACCATGGGGAATGGGTGAGCTGATCACATTGATGCTATCATGGCAGGGCCTGGAGGGACAAACGGGCTCCACGCATCCAGCCCACTCCTGCAAGCAGCCAGTCCCAGCAGCGTCCAGCACCTCCAGCCAGGCAGAGCCTCTCCCAGGTGGATACCGGGCCCCAAGCGGAGCGAGGGAGCAGTGAGCAGCAGCAGCAGCAGCAGGGGCAGCGCGGGCTCAGCTTCAAATGCCTCCGTTCCTTCCGGCACAGGATCCGAGAGGACAGCTGGAGGAGGCAGCAGGAGCCCGGCCTCAAACCGGGCAGCAAGGTGAGCTCCAGGCTTGGGTTGAGTTGGGTTGCATTGGAGCTGAGGCCTCTGCAGGCCCTCAGCAGGTCCCTGCCCTGCAGGGGCTGTGGTGTGAGGTGACAGAAGTGGCCCCTTCCCTGGTGCTTCAGGCACAAAGTCCCCATAGTCAGGTAGGTCCAAGCAGACCTTGTCTCTTCCAGCTCTGATATCGCACCATGCAGGTCAGATCATAGAATCCCAGACTGGTTTGGGGTGGAAGGGACCTTAAAGCTCATCCAGCTCCAACCCCTGCCATGGGCAGGGACCCCTTCCACTGGAGCAGCTTGCTCCAAGCCCCTGTGTCCAACCTGGCCTTGAGCACTGCCAGGGATGTGCAGGTGAGCCCAGCCACGTCCATCTCAGGGCATCCCCAGGGCTGTGCTGCCCTTTGCTGACTGCAGGCACGTTTCTGCAGGACTGCATTCAATTCCTAGATGCATCTGTAGACCACGGGGTTGATCCACCCCACGCTGCCCCGCTCCTCAGGATCACTAACCCTATATTGCTCTGGGGGAAATAGGCACAGAGAAGGGGGTGACCCAGGAGGATATGAGCCAGGCTTCCCAACAGCTACAAGGGAGCTTTGTTTTCACCCTTGTTTTCATTGCGTGCTCTGTAGAGCTACTTCCCTTGATGGGAAGATCTGGTTTAATGCTTTACTGTGCTCTCTGAACACTGGGAAATGGAGCTGAATCCTCTCAGGCTGGTAGAGGATGTCTCTGCCTGTGAGATTGATCCTTTCTCTGCATGCAGGAGCCAGAGGAGAAGAAGATCGCTCTGGAGCTGCTGGAGACAGAGCAGGCGTATGTCAACCGCCTTCACCTTCTCGACCAGGTGAGCTGGGAGCAGAGGGACCCACACGGGGAAGCAAAAGCCCTGCTGCCATCTGCCCCACCAGCACAGCTCGGCCACCTCATGCTGATAAACCACTCAGGGCCAGGGCACAGCTCCACACTCCCCACGTTTCATGTACTCGGCAGGGCTTGGGCCCTGTGGCAATGCCCAGGCTCAGTTCAGGGTGTGCACAGACCAGGGACTGCTTAATGGAGATTCTGGGGAGAATGAAGCTGTACAGATGTGAGCCACACTGGGCTCTTGGTCTTGATGACCAAAGAATGGGTCTGGCCCTCCATGGAGCACCTCTGTCCCAGCAGAGCTTTCCATTCCCCACACTTCTCTCCTGGGGCTTGGGATTTCCCTCCTGCACAGTCATGCCCTTTCACTGGGTAATGTGCCAGTCTCAGAGAGGAATCCTCAAGCATCTTCCTGACCCATTTGATTTACTCCTTTCTTCCAGATATTCTATACAGAGCTGATGAAAGAAGCCAAAAATGGGAAGACAGTCCCAGAGGAGGTGGTGAAAATGATTTTCTCCAACATCTCCTCCATCTACCAGTTCCACTCCAAGTTCTTCCTGCCAGAGCTGCAGAAGCGCATGGAGGACTGGTGAGCTGCACTCAGGATACCCGGCTTGCTTTGCCAGAATGGGGGAGCAGGGAGGAATCTGGGCTTCCATCAGGACCAGAGCTCAGCCTGGTTTACTCCAAATGTCTTTGTGCTCTAAAGCTCTTCCTTAGAACACTTCAGCACACATCAGGGTATGTCTGAAGGGGGGGGGGGTGACATCTCAGGTGGTTTAAGCTGTCTGCAAGCTGGGGACCATCCCGTTCTGGAAAGCATTAAGTTGTTTGTGGACACAGCTGGTCACAGTGGTTAAAACCTCTGTTCTCCACCGTGCACAGGCTTTGATTTACCCTTCACTGTCTGTCTGTCCCATTGCACTGCAGTCTCCGGTTCCTTCCTGCAGGAGCTGCAACCCACGGATAGGGGATGTGATCCAGAAGCTTGCTCCATTCCTTAAGATGTATGGTGAATATGTCAAGAACTTTGACAAGGCCGTGGAGCTCATCACTGTCTGGTCAGAGAAATCACCACCCTTCCAGGAGCTCATTGCTGACATCCAGGTACTGGGAGACAGCAGCAGCACTCCCCAAAATCTCCTTGTGAGGGGGAGCAGCAGAGGGTAGGAGCTGCCTTGGTCACTGTTTCTGGTCACTGTTTCTCTCTCCGTGCCTTCCCAGAAGAGGAAGATCTCTGCTAACCTAACACTGCAGCACCACATGCTGGAACCTGTGCAGAGGATCCCACGCTACGAACTCCTCCTGAAGGATTATGTCCAAAAACTACCTCCTGAGTCCCCAGACCGGGATGATGCAGAGAGTAAGGGCTCCCTCTGGCTCTTCCTGCTGTGGGGAGCAGCACGGTGGGTTTGTAGGGAATAACAGCCCCTGAGGTTGTTTGTGCATGGGCATCAGGATACCTGGATTCTCTTGGGTAAACCTCTCAGTCCGACCCTTTCCTAGCAGGGAGAGGGATGAATCTGCGCTTGCAGGGTCTGTGGAGGTCAGCGGGGAAGGTGGCTCAGGATGAGGATAGTCCCTCCAGAGCATCCCCCAGGGAGACCCGCAGTGGGCAGGGCAGTGCTCTATCCCTGCAGACACCAGCAGTTCCCACTGCTGCTGGGACGGAAGAAGGCGCCGGCTGTCCCCAGGGCCGTGCAGGCTGTGTCCAGGGGAGGGCAGCAGGCACCGCACATGCGGTGCGAGGCAGAGACCGTGGACTTTTCTTTAGCTCCATCCTTTCTCTCCTGGTTACAGAGGCCCTGCAGATGATTTTTATGGTGGCCAAGCACTCAAACGCAGCTATCGCAGAGATGGTGAGTGCCTGTCCCAGCTGGAAGTGCTTTGCTGCTCAGCACGGTGACTTGCAGCTTCCTTCACCACCTCGTTGCTGTGCCATGCTCTGAATGGGGCAGGAGCACTGTGGGTTCAGCAGAGGAGGTTAGACCCTGCTCTTGATGCCCGACCCCATCACCCTGAGCCTGGAGAAGCCGTATCTGCAACCTGAGCTGTGATGTTGCAGGCTGGGAGATGGGTCTGGGGTCAAGGAGCTGTGCCATCACTCACAGTGCTTGTCTGCTGGCCTGGGGACGGAGAGGACCAGGGGTGACAAGGTTGTGGCTGCTCAGCTCCACACAGAACATGTCCTCTGCCTGCCCAGGAGCGGCTGCAGAACCTCTGGGTGGTCTATCAGCGGCTGGGCCTCGAAGATGACATTGTGGATCCCTCCAATGAGCTGATCAAGGAGGGCCCAATCCAGAAGATCTCCACCCGCAACAACAGCACATCGGAGAAGTACCTGTTCCTGGTGGGAGCCGGGGTGCCCAGGGGAATGGCAGGGAGCAGATAAGTTGGGAATGGGGAGAGGGGCAGCACCACCTCACTGGGTGTTGCTGGGGGTGAATTCAGAGCTGGGGGGTTTGACCTGCATGAGGCACCCTGCACAGAAGATGGTTGGGAACCTGTGGAGCCCTGGGTGCTCCCAGAGCATTTCACCTTTGCAGGGTGGGAGAGGGCTGGGACAGGGTCACTTTTTGGGCTGGATGCTTCCCAAAGACTGGTTCAAGCCTCAGGGAGTAAAGGACTCCAGATCCCAGGGAAGCCCTCAGCTCTGGGCAGGCTGGTGCTGGGCTCCAACCAAGCCCATTCCCCCTTCCTGCCCAGTTCAACAACATGCTGCTGTACTGCGTGCCCAGAGTCATCCAGGTGGGAGCTGAGTTCCAGGTCCACCTCCGCATCAATGTGGACAGCATGAAGGTCAGACAGCACCTTGTCTCTGGGCTCCACTTTGGGGTGTAATGTGGCTTTTGCTCTGTGCTTCCTTAGGAAGGAGGGAGGAGCTGGAGCCAGGGGTGGCTTTGTGGGTGAGGAGGGCTGGTTGATATGCCCCGGTCCTGTGGAACAGCAGTGAAACCTGGTCCATGCAGGATCTGAGGGGCTGAAGGGCTTGCTCCTGAGGAGGGAAGTCCCTGTCCCTCACACCATGGGGGAAGGTCCCTGTGTGCTGGAGGTGGGTTCAGCTGCTCCACACCCTTCCTCCGGTCTCTCTCAGGTGCGGGAGCTGAGTGATGCGCAGTTCCCAAACACATTCCTGGTGTCGGGAAAGCAGCGGACGCTGGAGCTGCAGGCCAGGTAAGGGGAAGGGTGATGGTCCCACAGACCCTCAGGGAGGAGGGACGGTGGCTTATGCAGCTCCCTTTTTGTACCCAGGTCTGAGGAGGAGATGAACACCTGGATCAAGGTACCGCTGAGTGCTGGATGAGGCAGCACATCCCACTCATGCTGGATGCCCTGTGGGGTGGGAATCCTCTCTGACCACCCCTCCATGCCCTCCCTCCCCTCTAGGCCTTCCAAGATGCCATTGACAGGAAGGAGAAGAGGAGTGAGACCTTTAAGACAGCAGTGCATGGGCTGGAGATGGGCACCCCTGCACTGAAGGTAACCCTCCTGCCCTCCCCATGCCTTGCCTGCCTCCAGCAGCCCCTGCACAGCACCCACCGTGCTGTGCCTCAGTTTCCCTTGATCACCGAGCTGTGGGGAGGCGGGAGAAGGGCTGAGATCAGAGGGGCTGGGAGCAGCAGACCATGGCTCGCCAGCCCCACTGATGCAGCCTCCCCCCCAGACAGAGGAGCTGGGCTGCCGTGCTCCGCAGTGGGTGCGGGACAACCTGGTGACCATGTGCATGCGCTGCAGGGAGCCCTTCAACACCATCGTGCGCCGCAGGCACCACTGTCGAGCCTGTGGATACGTGAGTCCCCCTGTGCCCCTGTCCCCCCGCCCGGCTCTGCAGGTGGCTGCTGGGGCTGGAGCACTCTGCTCCTACACCTTACACACTTGTCCCTGGGATCAGCGCTGCTCCTGCCCCTCAGTTCCTCATGGAGCTGTCCCTGGGATGCTCTGGCACTGCCCCAGTCTCACCAGTGTCCCGGTCTGCTGGCTGCAGGTGGTGTGTGCTCGCTGCTCTGACTACAGGGCCCAGCTACAGTACGATGGGAACCGCCTGAACCGCGTGTGCCAGGAGTGTTACCTGTTCCTCAATGGCCACATGGTGCTTGAGGACCAGGAGGGGAAGCCCAAAGGCATCTTGGAGGTGAGCTCTGCCCCTCAGTGCCACAGCCTGGCAGCCAGGACCACCCTCACCCCTGGGTGGGAGGGAGCTGTGGATCAGGCAGGGAATTCCCCAGGAAATGGGCATTGCTCAGTGTCCTTTCTGCCTCCTGCACTGGTGTTCAGGGATGTGGTTGGGTTGGTTTTTGCCAGAAGGAAGCTGCAGAGGCTTCAGGCCGGAGTTTGCTCTGCAGTTCCCTGCAGATGCTGGACAAGAGTGGCAAAGGAGGCACCCGGGGCTGGTTTGTGATCCCGCAGGATGATCCCCTCGTGCTGTACATCTACGCAGCCCCCCAGGTAAGAACAGGCTCAGCTCCACCTCCAAGGGCCTTCCCCCTGCGCCCGCCCCCTGCCTCCCACCATGCTTCTGCTCTTGGCAGGATGTGCGAGCCCACACCTCCATCCCGCTGCTGGGATCCCGGCTCAGGGACCTGCCGCAGGAGAATTCCCAGCACCTTTTCCAGCTGGTGCAGTCCGGGCAGGTCCACACCTTCCTGGCTGACACTGAGGAGCTCAAGCGGTGCTGGATGAGGGTCATGGCGCGCTGCGCCGCGGGGATCACGCACCCCGAGGAGGAAGAGGAGGATGCAGAGTCCTACAGTGAAGCAAAATAAGGCCCAGCTCCAGGTGGGTCAGACCTCCCCTTTCCCATCCTGCTCATCCGGCCATCAGGCAGATCCCGACCTCTCTGCGTTTTGGTTTTCCCGCACAGAAAGGACAAGGTGGAGACACGTTTGCCACCGCACTGACGAGCTGCATCCTCCTTCCCCTCTCTCCGCACTGGACAGGGAGGATGGAGATACCCGAGCCCGGCTTGGGGGAGCCTCAGCCCGCTCTGCCGCCGGCTGCCGCCCGAGGGCAGCAGCGCCTCAGCCTTCCTCCCCGGCTGAGGATGGTGCAGGGGGATGCCCGGTTGTGTGAAAGCGTCTGTGGAGCTGAGCCCGCTGTGATAAACCCGACCTGCAGCCCCCGTGCAGCCCAACGAGCCTTTTTGGGGTGGATTTTCCCGAGTGTCCTGTGGGATTGTCACCGCGGGCACACATCGGCTGGTCTGTGACCAGAGACCCAGCTTGTTCTCAGCCCTGCCTGGCCCAGGGGAGCTGGATTTAGGGTGTCCTGCTCCTGTCCTCGGATTGCAGCGGTCCCACAGCCTGCGGTGCTGGCCCAGCCTGTGCTCCTGCCCATCCCAGCCTTCCCCTGCGCCCCATCCTGCCCACCAGTGCCTTCCACTCTTGTGCCTCTCTCAGTCACTCAGTTCCAGAGAGGGGAAACCCTCTGGGCCAAGGCCAGGTCCATGCAGCTGCTGGTGCAGGGCAGTGATGCTGGGGCACATGGGGACGTCCCCCCTCCATCACCAGTCAGCAGAAGGAGCACCCCTGGTCATTGACACAGTGCTGCAGGCTCCAGCCCCACGTATTTTCTCCCCACATCCTTTTTAGCTTCCCCAAATATGTTGCCCAGGCAGAAGTCACCGCTTGTGAGCCTGCAGGAGCTAAATTGGGGTGCAGGAGCCCCATGCAGGGAGCTGGGGTGCCCACAGTCCATGTCAGCAGCAATTGCTGCCTGTGCCTGGATCCCACAGCAACCTCTGGCAGAGCTGAGGGGCGTCATGGGCTAAATGAATCCATGGGGAGCAGGAATGGAAGTGAGTTGGGGCTGGGTACTACAAATAGGGATAATACTTGGGGAAAGGATGAGGGGCAAAGATGAAGCGCAGCCATTGCCACTCTGGGGGTGGGCGATAGGGAGCCAGGCAGAAGCTGTGAGCATCATCCTCCTTCCTCGGGCTGCTCGGCTCGCCCCAGCAAAGGGCAAACCAACCTTGGTGGCTTTATCTCCTCCAACTTATGAGATAGCATCAAGGAAGGGGAAAAGGAGCTTGATGGGTGGGGGGGAGGGAGAGAGCTCTGCTAAAACAACTGCCCCTCGGGGTGCCACCCAGCATGGGGGTTTCCAGAGACCCCAAAACCACCCTCACCTCCCTGCATCACCTCGTGTGATGGGGAACCCCAGCCACGCCGTGGAAATCCGTGGGGTGCGGGGTGCTGCGGGGGAAGGTCCCAGCAAGGGGACACCCATGGGGCTGGAAGGTTCTGCCTCGGTGTCGCCTCTGGGGCAGGCAGGAACAAAACAAGCCCTGAACGGGAGCAGGAGCGGCCTCAGCTCATGAATGGGCCTAAGAATAGATTTCCTGTTTACCCAGCAAGAAATGGCTCCTAGGGCAGAGGGCACCTGGGTGCTATTTTTACCAGCTCCTGCCCGATGCACTCCCAGCCCCCAGCAGCCCTCAGGGACCAACAGAGCATCCATGGAATCGGGGAATCCCAGCCTGGTTTGGGTTGAAGGGACCTTAAAGCCCATCCAGTTCCACCCCCTGCCACGGGCAGGGACCCCTTCCACTGGAGCAGCTTGCTCCAAGCCCCTGTGTCCAACCTGGCCTTGAGCACTGCCAGGGATGGGGTATCCCTGTGTGCCATAGGAAGGGGCTGCCAGGGAAGAGGGGTGGCCAAGGGATGAAGAGGATGAAGGGATGCAGGTTGCTCCCATGGCCCCATTCCCAAAGAAGGCTGGCTGGGAGGCAGCATCACTTGGCTGCCATGAGCATCCCCAGCCCATGGGGAAGGGGAGCGATCCTCATGCCGCACTGATGGGCTGCCCCGGTCCCTCAGCAGTGTCACAGCCGTGGTCAAGATCCGGCCTCTCCTCCGCATGCAGAAAGCGAAACCCTGCGGAGAAGTCTCTCGGTTTCCTATTCTCGAGAATGAGGAAGGCCCCGAGGCCGGTTACGGGAACCCCCCCACCGCAGCCCCCCCTCTACCGCTTCTTGTAAGCACGGACCGAAACACCTTGTGAAACCCGCGGCAGAGCTGGGCTGGGGCCGGGCCGCCCCTCACAGCCTGCAGCGAGCGGAGCGGCCGCCGGCGCAGAGCCTCCGCTGCCCACGCTCATCCCGAACCCAGGTCCCAGCGCTGCTTCCCTCTTGTGCCCCCCGGGGGGGGACCGGGACCACGCGGAGGGTTGAAACCGGAGCAGGTTCAAGGCCCCTTCCAACCCAAACCGCTCTGGGATTCTATCGTGTTCTCTTATTGCCAGCTGTGGGTCCCTATAGGTGCTGTGCTCTGCTATGGGAGATGGGGTTTCCTGCCCTACACGGGCTGTTCTGTAACGGACAGCATCGCTGAGCAGTATCTTGCTCTGTAATGCCTGGGGTTGGGTTGTGTATTGCTGGGCTCAGTAAGGGCCAGCCCATTGCAGCAGGGGCTCGTCTCCCACACCCTGCTGTGCCATGTCCTATAGGTGCTGTACTATGCCCTGTAGAGGCTGTAGCATGCCCTGGAGGTGCTGTGCCGTGTCCTATAGGTGCTGTACTATGCCCTGCAGAGGCTGTAGCATGCCCTGGAGGTGCTGTGCTGTGTCCTATAGGTGCTGTACTATGCCCTGTAGATGCTGTAGCATGCCCTTGCCCTAGAGGTGCTGTGCCATGTCCTATAGGTGCTGTGCCGTGTCCTATAGGCGCTGTACTATGCCCTGTAGAGGCTGTAGCATACCCTGTAGGTGCTGTGCCGTGTCCTATAGGTGCTGTACTATGCCCTGTAGAGGCTGTAGCATGCCCTGTAGGTGCTGTGCCGTGTCCTATAGGTGCTGTACTATGCCCTGTAGAGGCTGTAGCATACCCTGTAGGTGCTGTGCCGTGTCCTATAGGTGCTGTACTATGCCCTGTAGAGGCTGTAGCATGGAGGTGCTGTGCCATGTCCTATAGGTGCTGTACTATGCCCTGTAGAGGCTGTAGCATGCCCTGGAGGTGCTGTGCCATGTCCTATAGGTGCTGTACTATGCCCTGTAGAGGCTGTAGCATGCCCTGGAGGTGCTGTGCCGTGTCCTATAGGTGCTGTACTATGCCCTGTAGAGGCTGTAGAATACCCTGTAGGTGCTGTGCCGTGTCCTATGGGTGCTGTACTATGCCCTATAGAGGCTGTAGCATGCACTATAGATGCTGTACTATGCCCTGTAGAGGCTGTAGCATGCCCTGAAGGTGCTGTGCCCCATCGCGGCTCCGCAGGACGCTGCAGCCCCGGTCCGTTCCGCCCATGGCCCTCGCCGCAGCGGCGCTGGGGCTGCGCGGCCGGAGCTGCAGCAGCACCACGGGCTCCTCCCGCAGCCTCTGCAGCCCGCGGGGGCTCCCACCTCTCCCGCCGAGCGCTTGGAATAACCGGTAATGGCGAGGCCGAAGGCAGCGGAGCCTGCCCCAAGCATCACCGCTCGGTGCCGGGGCTGCGGGACACGTGGGACCCCAAACCTCCCCTGAGCCTGGGGGTACCCCTGGGCAGGGGGGGTAAGGGCGGGAGATGGTGCTCAATGATGCAAAATATCTGTGATTCCCCCCCCCCCCCAGAAAAGAGCATTGAACAGCCTCGGGTTTGGGGCACCCCCCATGGAGCGATGGAAGCAGGAGGGGGACCCCACATCCACCCAGCTGCACCCGCTTTGCATTGCACTGGCAGGACCCCGCTATGGGGTGCCCCCAGGCTCGGGGGAAGCTTTGAGCGGGGCTGAGGCTTCCACCGCCTTTGCCCGCAGGCTGCTGCAAAGGGCGCTTGGTGCTGCTGAGCCCCGGGTCGTGCATCCCCCGTCTGGCGAGGCGGGAGGTGATTCCCGGTGGCGCAGGGATCTGCTGTTTGCGCCTGTGTCGGAGGCGGCCGGGGAGGGAAGGGGGGGCCCGGCAGTTGTTACCGGTTGGTTTTCCTCTCCTGCCTCCATCCAGGAATCTCTGCAATGTGCCGGCTGCTCCCCGCGCTGCCGTGAGTCACTGCTGCCGCTGGAACGTGACTCAACCCTGCTGCTCCCCGGCAGGACATGACCAGACTGCCAAAGCCGGCGAGGAGCCCCAGCGCCGTCTCCTGCCCACGCCGGCCCCGGAGGATGCACCACATCCCTCTGGAGAGCGCAGCCCCTCCATTCCCGCAGGGATGCCACCCCCTGCCGTGGGGCAGCGCTCACGATGGGCTCCTTCATTCACCCTCATTTTATTTATCCTCTCCGTTTAGTTGTTTCCCAGCCAGGAGAACCCTCCCCACATGCTCTGGCTCACCGGGGCTGCGTCCCCAGGGTTCTGCTGCTTCTCCTCTCTGTGAGCAGGGAAAGCTCCAGGCGCTGCTCCTGCCCCAGTTCCCGTGCCTCGGTTTCCTCATCCCGTGGGGATGCGGCAGCAGGAGCGGGGTCACTTGAGGTTGTGTTTTGAGGTCGGTGAAGAGCAGCTGGGGGGTATTATTGACATTAATAACCAGGCTGGGTCAGGGCTCAGGTGCTGGGGAGGGACGGGAGGGGGACGTGAAGCAGCCCTGAGTCACAGGGTAGGAGCAGCCCTGCGCTGAGCCCTGACACCGCACCCAGGCTGCCCTGCTCATCCCAGCCGCGGCTGGAGGATGCCGGGCGTGAGCCTTCCTCATCCTCACGGGTGGGGGAACGGGCTCCAGGGGTTGGGAGAGCAGCAGCCGTGGGGCAGAGCTGAGCACGGGGCTGCTCATCACACCCCAGGCCCTGCGTGGCCACAGCTGCCTCTGTAAGCAGTGATTGAGAGCCCAGCCCGGCTCCCTGCGAGCTTCTTAATTAAGAACTACATTTAATTAGCAGCGCCCCAGCTGTGACTCAGCCGATGGTCGTGATCCAAGCAAGAGCCCGGCTCCAGCTTAAGCCTCCCCCAGGCTGTGACCCCCGGCTCCGCAGTGGGACCCCGTCACCCCCCAGTGCCCCCTGCGGGTTTTGGGGTGAGTTTTCTCCTGTGCTGGTGGCAGGTTGGGGCCGGGGCCGTCCTCACACACACACAGGGTGTCATCCCCCCCCGGGGCAATTACCCATTGCCACACTGTGAGTAATCATATTAATAACCCGTTTACTGGGCTATAAATAGCCTGGATAATAACAGCCTGGGCTTTCCAGGAACAGAGCATCAAAAATGCAGGGAAAGTCATTC